TGGATGACTTTCAGTAACCATTGCTATAATTTAGAATAGTGTCCTGATGGAGACCTTCAGACCTGAATATTATTGCAGATATTTGTAGTGGTTCTGCTTCTTTATTTGCAATCATCATCAGAAAATAATACTAGGGTTTTTTTTTGCTAGTTCATTTGGAGATTACCCTATGACGTTCCACTTGAGAGTTATAGTTCTGTCTTAACTCTTACAGAGTTTATACCTATTTGATTGAAAAGAATCCTAGGTTTGAAAGTATTGCAAATGGTTAAGATGTGTTATACCATTAGTCATGGTAGCTTGCCCAGTGATTCTGGTAATCACTTACTCTTAGTCCAACCTACCTCACATAAATATTGTTGAAGGGAAAATGGAAGATCATTATGTATGAATGAAAGGTAGGATATTTTCATGAAAATAAAGAAGTTCCAACTCAATAGATAGGGAAGTGTGAGAGAAAGAAGAATGAATGAATGAATGAATGAATGAATGAATGAATGAATGAATGAATTTATTTTTACTGAATAGTCCAGGTTGGGCATCTGAGTCTTTTTAGATTGTAAGGATTAGGTGTGAGAACATAAATCTAAAACTCAGCAAGAGTAAGAATGTTACTGTTGATTATGGGACCTCAGGATTTGAGAGAAATATTTGTTCTAATGGGGTTGCTATATGTTTTAAGAGACAGGTTTTCATATCCTCAATTCAGTACAGTGCAGAATAACCACATAACATGAATAGAAAAGCCTTTTATCAGTTCTTGCTGATAAACTAATTGTGTGATAATTGGTAACCTCATAACATGTCCTTTACTGGGATACCTGTCCAAAACACTTTTGCAGTTGGTGCAGTAATTTAAGATTTAATTTTAACTTTAAGATTTAACAGTACAACTGCCAGTTTAGCTGTATTTCTATATATTGCCCTAAAATGCTAAGGAGTGGGCAGTATACAAACATCCTGTAAATATAAATATTTATAAATATAAAGAAATACCTATTTTTTTCAAGAATCTGTAGAATACTTTAGTCTACTGTAGGATAGGTACATAAAAACTTGATATACATACAATGGATGTATACCCACTATCTGTGACTGCAGTATCCTTTGTTAGAAGATATTTCCCTAAAGAGTGTGTGTGTGTATATAATTAAAGTCACATTTCTGTTGTTATCATACATGCTAAATATGTTCTGTTCTTATAATCTTAATGTTCTCTTGTCATATTGCAGTAGACTCCATTTGGCCTCACAATGGATCTAGTATATTGTATGTTATTCATAAGTTACTCCAAAATGTCAAGTTTGTTTTTTCAGGATCTAAGTGATCCCACCATCTGGGCCTAATTCAGGTTCTGTGCATGAGCAGTTTGTCCAATTCTCCAGTGTTTTTGCAGTTTGAAAGATACTGTTTCAATATCAGCCACAATATAAAGTCTTTCAGCCACATCTTATAAGGAAGATGAAAAGATGATTGACAGTTTGCCTAGCTGCGCTTACTGTTGTCTTTGATTTCAGGCCAATTGGATAAAAAGGAAATACACGAAGAGATCGCCCTGGGTTTGTGTAGAATGTCAAAGGTTGAATGCAGAAATTGAAAGTAAAAAAAAAGAACCACAATAGGGCTTTTTTGTGTGTCCCCTTTACTCCCATGGTATTATTGCCAAACAATAATTGCCATCCTTACTTCCATTTTTGAGGATGTATTTATGTAGTTGTGGTGACTGCTAAGAATATGGAGGAGTACATGTATGTTATTTTCTGAATTTTATGCACACTGCTTGGCATATTAGCTTGAAACTGCCAATTTAGTAGTCCTTATTTGTGGTCGATGTGAAAAAAAAATTGAGATAGATTTTTTCCCTCATTCTCTGCTAATCTTACTGAGTATGTGGGTTGTTCCCCTTTCAGGAGGAAAAAAAACCCTAGAAAGTGTGAAAGAACTATCCCAGCAGGCATATATATAATTAACTACTTATTAAATGCCTTTCAGGAAGCTAATAGAATGAAACATTACAATAACCAATAGTAATAAATTACTGTGTCAATAATAGTAAGCAGTACAAAACAAACCCACTGAGTCGTGGGGCCTGAGTAGAGAACTTTCTCAAATAGATTTGGCCCCCACCCTGCCAAGCAACAGGAGGTACCTGCCTTTATTGTGATTAAAGTCTTGATGGTGGGCATTCTCTTTGGGGTCTCCTGTCCTTTATTTATTTATTTATTTATTTGTTTAAATTTCTATACCGCCCTTCTCCAATGTAGGACTCAGGGCGGTGAACAGCCAAAGTAAAAACAAGACATACATACAAAACATACAAAATCTAAAATCTGTTTAAAATAATTAAATAATTTTGGCCGTAATTAAAACATTCCAATTTAAAATCCGTTTAAAATTTGACTCAAGCCAGCCCAGCTAGTTGAAATAAATGGGTTTTTAGGGCCCGACGAAAAATCTGGAGGTCTGTTATTGTACGTAGCTCTGGGGGGAGGTTGTTCCAGAGGGTGGGCGCCGCCACAGAGAAGGCTCTCCCCCTGGGGGTCGCCAGCCGACATTGTCTGGCGGACGGCACCCTGAGGAGGCCCACTCTGTGGGAGCGTACTGGCCGGTGGGAGGCTATTGGTGGCAGAAGGCGGTCTCGTAAGTACCCCGGCCCTAAGCCATGGAGCGCTTTAAAGATGGTCACCAACACCTTGAAGCGCACCCGGAAGACCACCGGGAGCCAGTGCAGCTCGCGCAGGAGAGGTGTCACGTGGGAGCGCCTCGTCGCCCCCAAAATCCCCCGCGCGGCCGCGTTCTGGACCAGCTGGAGCCTCCGGGTGCACCCCAGGGGGAGCCCCATGTAGAGAGCGTTGCAGTAGTCCAGGCGGGAAGTGACGAGTGCCTGAGTGACTGTGCGTAGGGAGTCCCGATCTAGAAAGGGGCGCAACTGGCGTATCAGGCGGACCTGATAAAAAGCCCCCCTGGCCACGGCCGCCAAATGATCTTCTAACGACAGCCGTGCGTCCAGGAGGACGCCCAAGTTACGAGCCCTCTCCGTGGGGGCGAGCAACTTCTCCTCCCCTTCTCAAGGAAGAGGTGGTTCTTACTCTCGTTGACCTTCCAAACCTATTACAAAGTATGGAGTCAAATAGCAAACAACCACCTAATCAAGGGACTACTGAGAACACTCTCGCCAACGCTGACAAGGCAAGCCACTTGGATATAAACAAGAGACCAAATCTCCTTCCTTTCCAGCACTGATGATGTTATCTAGTTGGGTGATGAAATGTCTGCAAGCGAGAACACCAAGGACCCCAGAGTTCAACCCTAAGCCATAAATATTCCCTTCTATAGCTATTAGACCGAAGATTCAGAAAGATTGGTTTTACCATATTGCATTATTTTTGTTGTTGTTTATTTGCTTTTATATTTCTACATTGCCTTTGACTTGAAACAATCAAATCACAGAGACAGACAAACAGAATATTAGTATACAAAGGAAAATGGTTTGTGTGTGTGTGCGTGCGTGTGTGTGTGTGTGTGTGTGTGTGTGTGGTGAGATCTATTTATGGAATGCCTTTCTCAGAGAGTGTGTGCCTACATATAACATCATTTTGGCATCTATTTCTCCATTCTTCAGTTATTTTAATTTTCAATAGTATTTTAATATTTAAAATTGTTTTAGATTTTGAACCCTTGTGTCGCTGCTACCAAGCTTATATGGTATCTTTATAGTGCTTTCTATGTCATTGTACCTGTTACACCTTTAATAGTATTTTTTATCCTGTTTCATCATAAACTACCTGGAGAGCTTATATAAGCCATTGGGAGATTGTCAGCTGTTTCTAGACTCCTGCTGGAGCTAAATTAGCTTTTATAGATACTCTTCAACTTACAACCATTTGTTTAACACCCACTCAAAATTGCAACAGTGGTGAAAAAAGTTCCATACCACAGCTTGTCACACTTACAACTATATACAGGTAGTCTTCATCCACTCTTCCTTAGAGCTTGAATTCTGATTGCCTGGCACTGCCCTATTGTTTGCATTTCTGTAAGATATGCAAAAAATAGTTGCATAGAAAGGATAGGCAAGACCTTTTTTTAGCAATATACAGGTAGTCCTCAACATATGACAACAATGAGGTCCAAAATTGATGTTTTTCAGTGAGACATTTGTCAAGTGGGTTTTGCCCCATTTTACAACTTTTCTTGCCACATTTGTTAAGAGAATCACTGTAGTTGTTAAATCAGTAACACAAATTGTTAAGTGAATCTGGCTTTCCCATTGACTTTGCTTGTCAGAAGGTTGCAAAAGGAGATCATGTGACTTCAGGACACTGCAACGGTCATAAATGTGAGTCAGTTGCCAAGCATCTGAATTTTAATCACATGACTATGGGGACGCTACCACGGTCATAAGTGTGAAAAACGGTCATCAGTCACCATTTTTAGTACCATTCTAACTTCGAACGGTCACTAAATGAACTTTCGTAAGTTGAGGAATACCTGTAGTGTCCCCATTGTCACATGATCAAATTTTGGGCACCTGACAACCAGCATATATTGTCATGTGATCACCATTTTGATTTTCCTAGCCAGCTCCTGACAAGCAAAATCAATGGAGGTAGCTGGATTGATTTGATAACAACATAATACATTTAATGACCACAGTGATTCACTGAACAACCAAGGCTAAAAAAATCAGGCATGACTCACTTAACAACCTCCTCGCTTAGCAACAGAAGTTTGTGATTGTAAGTCGAGAACTACCTGCACTAGCTCAAGGGCCGACTTACTGTTTTTATAATTCCTTTATCTTAATTTGTGCGCACACAGCTCACAGAATAGAACAGATTGCATTAAGGTGAACAGGTTATGTATATGAGGATAACGAACAAGGTGCTCTTTGCACCTTGTTTTTGGGTCCTTATTTCTTGTTGTTTTTTGCTCTTTCAGAGCCAGATGCCAAGTTTGGAAGGACTTGCATTTAAATGTTTGTTTGTTTGTTTTTCAAGTGGCGCAACATGTTTTGATGACCAGGGAAGAAAATTCAGGAAATGAATAGGACAGAAAGAAGGAAACTGAAGCAATTAACAATTATTTAGCAGCTTGCAGTGAACGTGTACACAGTATGGAAGTGCGTGTGTATTCTTTTCTACCAGCCAAAGTAGAAACAATCATGGACATCTTCTCAACAAGCAACTGCAGGAAACGAAGGCAGCAAGATTGTTGATTAGCAAAAAACAACAACAATGGGGCTCTGGGTTAGGAGGGGGAAGGCAGAAATCCAATAGGAAGAATCATTTCATTTACACCAGTGTTTTAAAAACTTATTATGCCTCATTAAAATGACAGCATTTTCATCCTGAAATGCTTGTTTGTTAAAGCTTTTTCTAACCGGCGTTTTGTTTATTTTTCTCTGAAATACCAGTCCATTGTAAACCGCACTGAAGATAAATTTATTTCGCCTACCTTTTACACCCTTCCTGTGACTTTTCTCTTGGATTCAAAGAAAAAGCTTTACAGGGAACCGTGACTAAACAGGTGCCAAATATTCAAAATGTTTTCCCTTCTCCCCATCAACCATGATGACAACAGCTGCCATTAGAGGAAAGCTTTCTATTAAATCCGGTTCCGGGAACCTTCCTAAGTAATATCAATTCTAGTTTCATCTCTCTAATGTTAGGCTTCATAGTGGCATTTAGTAGAGAGGGAGGGAGGGAGGAGAAGGACCATTGTTGAATCCCACAATAGTTGGTGGCATACTTTTGTTGAATCAAATTCTGTCTCTGTTACACAACTTGCCTGTGTAGCACGGACAGAGGAGTGGGGAAAAAAGCGACTTTCTCATTCTCTGATCTGAATGCTTGATAAGGCTTGGTGTCCAAAAGGGCAAATGGGACTCACAGCAATTATGGCAAAGGCATGTCGGTTTCCTTGACAACCAGATTGCAAATTCTTTCTGATTTATTATTTACCACTTCAAACTCTGCGTACCATGATTTAATTAGGAAGAGGGATTTTTCACAAGTCTCTTCCTTCCTCCCAAAGTGGAACGTCCCAGTCCTGTTCTTAAAATGGCCAAATTGACTTTGGCTCTAAAGCGTTCGAGATGAAAAGTCCCTGAAATTTTTGGCAATGCATTTAGTGTGTTTAAATCCTGTACAGAGAATATAATACCTAATGGGTTATAAAAATCTAGGTACTTCGCCTGATTGCTTTCTGCCACTGGGATGTGTGTATGTGTGAATGATTAAGGGGACTCTTAACTGGATTCCGCAGCTTTTCAGGAATCTTAAGTCGATTTCTGAATGGGGTGCTCCCCTAGCTCTGCTCATTGTTAAGTCAGAGCACAACAACAAACAAACAAACAAAAACATGACTTTTATCCCATCGAAGCTTGGACGCACATTTTATGTTCTCAAATCTTGTACTTTCTGGCCTGGGAACACAACCTTCAGCCCCAGACTTCAAGAGTCCCTCTGGGACAGCAGATGCTTCCCCATCTCTCACCCCCTACTCCCACATGCATTTTGTTGCTATAAGCAACACATGTTTCTCTTTCTAACATGAATAGCTATGGGATGCAGAGGAATCAGGCTAGGCAAAGACCCAGCTCAAAGGTAATTGGAATGAATTGCCCCCTGAAATCGAATTTCCAAATGAACTCCGTGCTTTTGCAAGAGACAAAATTGTGATAAATTGGTTTCTTGGTCTGATCTTGGACTTGATAAATAAATCTCAGATACACTTGGACTATTAAGTGTTATCTTGGCTAGTCAAGTTGGGTCTCCAGTTACCTAGATGCACCAATCTTTAGTTTCAGCTCCTTTGGAAAATACTGTCAATGTTAGCAATGAATAACATTGGAGGAGGGGAGGGAAGGGGCTTCCTGTAAATGTTTTCATAGGTACATGTGGTCAGAATAACAGAATAACACAGCTAAGTGCTATTTAGCTAGACTAGTGCTCAAGAAGTGAAGTGAGATTAATATTAAATTAATAATTTAAGTAAGCAAAGTAACACTGTGTCCTTAAAATGTCTGATTGCAAGTTGTCATTGATAATAGGTTTATTTCTCTTAATTATTTACTGTAAGAATGCTTGATTTAGAGACTTTACACAGGGCTTCGATGTCAGGAATTTGACTTTGTAAAATCAAATTGAGAAATAAGCCACAGGTTTAACAATGACGCTCCTACAGGATTATTGATACATTGATACATTTAATGGTTTAAGTAGAGCAGACAGCATTTCCCTCTCTGTCATCTAAGAAACTCACACATGGCAAATTGAAGGGAATTGAATTTAATCTGCAAATTTAATCTGAGAAGAATATCATCAGCGAAACCTGCTGGGAATTGTATTTCCAGGAAGTTTTTCAAAGCAGGTGTTTTCTTGTTCAATTAGGATTTTATAACATCATGATACTTTCCTGCATGCATGTACTGTTTTGTTTGGAATATGGGAGAGTAGAGTTGATCTTTATGGCTGCCTTATAAATTAAAGAATACTGCAGTAAGTCCTGAGTGAGTGATGAAACAATAAGAGGTGGCACAATGTCATAGCAGGTGGCAGCTCCTAGCTGTTTTAGCTGATTTTAAAAAAGCTAAAAAGGCCAGATAGATGGAAGACCACCAGGAAATCTCAGTGTTACAAACTTAAGTGTTTCCAAACAAGATTTGGAAGAAGCAAAACTATTGTATGGTTGTCAACTACATAATATGTCAAAAGGTATTTGAATGAGATTTTCTACTTCTGATAGCACACAAGCAAATCCATTGAACATACAAACCTGTTTTCAAGTTGGAAAGGAAGGCTGATCTTATCATGGCCTGCATCCATAGGTAGAATGGGATAGTTTTCATGGGCTAAACTATGTGAAATTACAGCTGTTGCAATGCCCCCATGGTCCTGTTAAAATTTGGGTGCTTAGCAAGTGTCCTACATTTATGACTGCAGCATGCAGTTCATCACCCTCCTATCTTCTCCTAGTTGATCTTCACCATCTTCTTCAGGCTGCTGGCCTGGGATCCAAGTAGTAGGGGAGGGCAAAGTGATGGAATGCATGTAACAAGTGACTCCTCACAGGCCTTCTGTTTGCTAAGTCCAGTCTTCCTCCTTAGAGGCCTTGTGCTGTAGCCCCAGGAAGACTTTGTCCCTGCTTCCTCCAGTTCTGGTACCTTCTAAAAGGTCACCCCTTTGCCCAGAGACCTGCTGACTGTATCAGTACCTGGCTTCTCTGACAGTTCCATCCACCTGCTTTCTCCTAGTTGGTTCCACCAAGCTCCCTTTAGCAGATGACACTCCGCTGTCCTGTTGCATTGGCCGCATACATGATGGGACCATACTCCTTCACCCAGGACCTGCATTCTAGGTCAGAAGTCAGAGGAAGACAATGATAAAAGTTAGCAGGTAGCAGAATGCAAAGTGCCCCAAAAGTCAGAGATGGGAAGGGAGGTAGGTTAGATGGGGAGGGAGATAGGAGGAATAGAAGCAGAGGTGACTGTGGTAGAGAAGAAGAATCTTGTCTACTGAAGGGAACTCATTGGACCTAGTCAGGGAGGAGGCAGCAGGATGGAGTTGGCTGTTCATACAGGACAGGAGTAGCATGATATCGTTGTATGATAATGATTTTCCCCAGCCTAAGAACCACAACTGGAACTGCCATCACTAAGTCGCTTAGCAACAGACATTCTGGTCCCAATTAGTATTGTTAAGACTACTATCTATATGTACTATCATTATTTTTTCATATGTTGTGCCATTTCCACAGTTGGTTTCAACTGGACTTGTCAATCCTTGATTATCAAGATAAGAAAGTTAGACACAACAAATGAGTTTCAGATATTTGTGTGTATTTCCCCTGATTGGAGAATAATTTTGAATTCAGGATGATTTCTTAGGGTTAAATGTGGCATTTAGTTATTTATATATTTGTTTAACTTGCTTGTTAGCCAAAAAAAAAAAAAAAATCTTCTGGAGTGGTTTGCAATTATCAGTAATAAGAGAGTTCTTGCCCTCAGGTTTATAATCTAAAAAGTATGGCATATAAGCAAAATGAATGAAGAAGGAAGGAGGAGGAGAGAATCAAAAGGCAAATCACCAATTCATAAACATACAAAGGAAGTGAGATGAGCAGTACCTAAATTTGATCGATAAAATAAATAAATAGATGTTACCTTGCTTGGGATGGTAACAGTTTCCTAATAGTATAATTTCTATTTTCATCACAGGATCGAAATGATAAAAAGGCTCCTCTATTTTTAAAAACAGTTTTAGAACTATAATAAAAGGAAATTTGCACAGGCTAAGGTTATTTTTAACACAGTGAATGCCACTAATGACACAAAACAAATACCCCCATTAAATTAAAAGATTGAGAGACCCTCATATTGTCAAAAAGAACATTTCAATTTACGGGAAAATCCAGAGACAGGCTGAAAACAAAACAGCATCCTTCTCGCATGTGGATTCTTTAAATGGAATGTATTAGCATATGCAAACACTTCCTTCCTTTAGAGTTCAGTATTGTGGACAAACCTTCCTCCCCCCAATAAATAAATCTAAAAACACGCATAATAGAGGATGCAACTTAAACAGACCCCTGACAACTTGGGTCCCTAGGTTTTGGATTTGAACGAGTAACAGACATGGTATCCTGTTCTAGCTTCTCAGCTAGTGAATCAGAATACTATACTTTTTTTTCCTATCAGAAAGATCCCAGCAGTGACTACTTTTAAGTATCTTTGAACATGTATCACTGTATGTGCAATTCTCAGAGGGAGGGTGATCTTTTAATTAAGACAGGAGGCTGGGGAATCAGAAGTGCTCATAATGCTTGCCACTCTTACTTCTTATTTCCTAACTCATTGTGTGTTATGTCAACTCACAAGATTTCTAGCCTTGGGACTTTCTGATCCCATCTGCAAAGTCTTAGCCGATCTCTTTTGGATCTTCACCTCTTTTAGGGACCTGCTTGTTCCAGTAGCAAATTTAAACTCACCAACTGATAAGCCTTAGAAAAATAGAACTCATGTCATGAAAATGTATCAGATCCACATGCACTATATTATTTAAATCCTACCTAAATGCTGGTTAAGTGAAAAATAAAGGGAAAAAAAAAACAGATTGCTTTTGAAGCAGACGTGGAGATTTCACTAATTCCAACTTTGAAGTAAGATTACACAGTGTCCTTTGATTGTCTGGTCTCATACCAATTATTTTTGATTTCTCAAGTATATTTGGTTAGTGCGCAGGAGATGATGTTGTCACACATTTAATGCTGGGGTTATATAGGCAATTATTATTTTGCTGCTTTTGCAGAACTATTGCTTCTGGGCTCTTTGTAAGATCAGTGTTAAATGGATAA